CACACACACACACACACACACACACACACACACACACACACACACACACACATATGGATGTAAAAGTTTATTGCATGTTGCTTGCTTAGGTGGAAAATTTAGAAGTTTCCATTTTGTAGAAATAAGGAGTTGAAGATTGGTTGCTGAGTGTTATAAGAGATAAATATGATGGAAATAAAGCACAAGGTTATAAGTGGAATGTTTATCAAATTATTCAGCAAGGAGTAGAGAATAAGATGAGAATATGTAATGTCCTCTTCATTCTTTAATGTATATATGAATAAATATGTTAGGAATACTTATGTTTGGAATATTACCATATATACTTATAACAGGTATAGTGGATGTGTACATATGTGTACTTTTGAATGCAAATGATGCAATGTTACTAGCTGCAAACTAAAATAATTTGTAGAAAATATTAAATTGTCTGTATGATGCAATGAAGAACATTAGTTTTAAAATCAATGTAGCAAAGAGAAAGGCAGTTGTGTTTGGTGGGGAAGGGAACTTATGTTAAATATAAATGGCAAAAACTAAAGTAAGTGTATTAATTTGTCTACTTTGGTACAACAGGTCCTTAATGGGAAAGTTGGTGAAGAAATTTAAAACATATATATACAAATACTGATAAAAACATAGTGGGAAATATGTGGTCTGTTTCAAGGAAGGAATACTTGTTGAAAGAAGCAAAATTTGTGTATAAAAGCATACTTTTGCCCATTTGATATACAAGTGGAAGTTGGGTATGTCAGAATATAAAATGTAGTGGCAACAGGATACTAAAAATGCTTGCTTGCGCATGCATTTTAGTTATTTAATTTTTTGATGTATGTCCCTGCACTTGTTTAGAGGCAATTCTTGGACTTTTATGTGTAAAATAGAAAATATAATTTGATGTGTGAGTGCTATATGAATATGGACTAAATACAGTGATATTTAGTCCATAATCATATAAATGAATGGCCCTTATGGCAAAAAATAATCTGAAAGGATTTGGTCATATATGGTGACTGAGGAAAGTTGGAATTGTAAAACAAATATGTGAAGAAAGAATAATGGATTGAAATGAAGGAGAAGAGGGTTGTGGTTGAATGTAATTTATGAGATCTTTAAAAAAATGGTGACAAGTTTAAAGAATAAAATGGAATGTTGGAAGTGATAGCAGAATGCCATGGAACAAGATAGTTTTCAAGGATAGGATGGTATTGGGATAAACCAGTTTTAGTTCTTTCCTCCCCCCCCCCCCATATCATATGTTTGATTTGTCTGGTCTTCTATTGCTTACTCCTTTTCTGCATAACACTGCTTACTGAAAAGGAAAAAAAAACATGATACATAGAATATTTTTGGAAAGAATAAATATTCATAAAGATGGGTCGTTTATGGTGTAGAATGATTTGCTCAAAAGTGGTATGCTCCCTCTACTGGCAGTTCATCAGAGCTGATGTTTAACACTGCACAAATGGTTTTTTCCCACCTCAAGCAAGTGTTTCATATACATAGATTCAATACCTGATGTCATTAGAGTGGGCAACAAACAAACAACAAGAAGGAAACAATCAGAATGAAAGTCAGAAGAATTGACAAGATGCTGTACTAGTTATCATGGCCACAGAATAATTAATGACATAATCCCCCACAGTACTTCTCTCCGCAACAAAGTCAAATCAGGATACAGTTTCTCTACTTAAAATGGCTTAAATTTAGCGTATAGTATTACTATATATCTGTGCATACTATATATCTGTGAATAATTTCAAGCTTTTAGAAAACAGGATAGCTGATCAAAATCCCAACACTGTCTTTTTTGCAATTTAGCACTCTGTAAAGCATTCTGTACTAGGAATGCAATTGTGGCTAGTAATAATAAGCTGAAGAGTAAAATATAGTGATCAAGTATTGCAATACTATATTATCAGTATAAAACTCAATTCTTGCACTGATTTTCCTGATCAAATTGTAACAGAGAGTTCTCCTCCTGAAATTTGTTGTAACTACACAGTTGCAATGCCCTTACAGTCCCATGATAAAAATTTGGTAGCCTGCCTTCACTTACAATCAACTGCAAAGGAGCTGCAACTCCCCTCCATCTCTGCCCTTAAATGCCCAGCAAAAAGAGGCATTTTAGGAGACTGAAGCTGAGCAGCTGCCTTTAGAATTTTGTTTCTTCTTTTTTATAAAGGGTCAGGCTACGTGCATCTCATAAGCAGTGAAGACACTGAAGATCAGCTACCGAATGCAGGGCAACACAGGTGGCTGGGACGGGGCTTCCCATGTGTTTGTTGGTTGGGAGGGGGTGCATTGCACAGTGCCATAGCGTCTAATGGGTATTTGGAACTTTCCACCAGACAGCTGCTTTGTGCCCCACTGTGGAGACAGACTTATCTGAACAGTCATTCTATGTGCACTGTGGGAGAATTCGTGAGTATTCAGCCCTTCGTGGATATGTGTGGCTATTTCATGCATGGCCTACACTGAACCTCCAAAGTGTTCCCCCACTTCCCTGAGGCACTCCTATGCATCTTAATTGGGGTCCCCTCCACTCCATAATTGGTGAGATACCTTAATGACTGCAAGGGCAACTGCCCTGATTACAGTTGTTGAGCAAAACAGCCATGTCATATCTTGCTTCCTCAATGAGATTCTGGTCCCAAATGTGAAGAAGTAGAAGTGTGGACTACTTGTAGACCTAGTTTCCTGAACAGATTACTCTTCTAGTCTTTGTCTTCCTAACTACTTTAAAAATAGAGCTAGTGCCATCACCATGTTAGTAGTCAACACTGAAGAATGTTTGGTACAGAAGGAAGCAGCTATCTGCTTCAATCAGACAAACATCAAATCAGTCCTCTCATATCTGAATACACTTAAAATTCCTGTAAATTAAGCAGAGGAACACAGGTTCTTCAGAGATGTTTTCAAGACTATGCCACTGAATTTGCTGCTCATGTGCCATACTATACCTTATTACATCAGGTTCTGCATTTTCATTTTGGAAAGATGCTTGGAGTTTTCTGTGTGCTGTGAAAAGTTCATCTACTAAAATTTGCCGTCTTTCCGCTTCTATATGGGTTCTGCAAGAACTGGATTAAGGATCATTGTTGGATAAAAATGAATAAAATAGCTAAAGAATGGCACACATGTACTCATCTATTAGCAAACATAGTATTATATCCTGACTAAGGAAACTCAAGTAAAATCTAAGCTTCTGACAAACATCACAAGACATCTCTTTTGCAATAGTAATTCTGTTTTTATAAAGTGTGATACTTTTATGACACTTATAAAATAAGAACCATAAAATAATATGCAAACGGAAAAGGGCTGTAAAGGTGAAAGAAGTCCATTGTCAATCCAGTACTTAGGACAGATTATAAAATGAACACACGTATTTAAAAAATAAACCATGATAGCAGATGCCATGAAATTCTTTGCAGAATTTCTGATTCACAAACACTATTACCAAAGAGGATGTCAATATATCATATAATTACACTCCATTTATATCAGGAAGGATTGCACGATTATAAAAGTCCCAACATTGTTTTTGCAGCCCTCAGAATCTACCCAAATTGGGCAGAACCATTTTTGAATTTGGGAAAGATTCACAGAGACAAAATAGCACCTTACGTTTTGCAAAAGCTTAGGGTATCCATTTCACATTATTAAAATGTTACCATAAAAATTGATATACTTTGGAGTGCAGCTCTGCAGGTATTTTCAAAAGAAGCTCTGAACAGGAAATGAAAAGTAAATCAAATAAAGATAGAAGGTCAGAATACTTTCTACATTTGGGTTTTCCCCAAATTGAGGGTTTTTTAAAAACACATGTGTAAATCAGCTAGGTGTTTTCCAAAATAAAATGAATCATAATTGTTATATTAACCTCCCAGTTACAACTGTTTACATGGATACATCTGACGTGTTGATACAGAGTGAAACAACAGGTCTTTCAAACGATTGGTTTTTTCTTCAAGATTTTGCAATAAAGGCCTGACTGCAACACTGACCTAGAGAGGGAGAGAGAAAGATAAAACACAGTGAGGCTTATCTGTTTCAAGACAGAATAATATCCAAAGGAAAGAATAAGGAATACAAATCAAATTATTTATAAAATTATCGGGACATCTAATATTAAACTACACTGTCTGTATGCTACTGTATCTCATGTTCTTCAGCTGTTCCTGATTTTTAACTTTGATACAGCTTTTCCTTTTCTGTGACAATGATTGTGTGTGTAATACCCACATGAAAATGACAACTATGCTCTGTGGATTTGGAAAAGTCCAAAATACTATTTTAAGGACTAGCAATAAGCCGAAAATTCTCAAGAGAGTTTTTAAAAAAAGTCTCTAAAGTTTTCTTCACAGAATGAAGAAAGCTTAACTACAGAAATTGATCTTCTCAGGAATACAGCATGATTAGATGAGGGCTAGTCCTCACCTATGATGCCTTGTGCATTGAGGGGGAAACTGCTTCTAAAACATCTTTCAGTTACTTCATTCTAGGTCAGGGTTCTGAATGTAGCAGAGCAGCTTCCTTGCTGAGATCCGCTGAGATTCAAAGGGCAGCAAATTGCACAAAGATGGTAAAGACTGACAGTTAACACAGTTAATGTCCAGGAATTACTAGAATCTCATGTCACTATAATCTAAGATAATGAAGCAATGCCATCCACTCACAAGACCTTTCCCAGGCTATAACTCATTGTGAATCAGCACTCCCATGGCCCTCCAGTCTCTTGACATGCAAAACAACAGTCCTGTTTTGGCCACATTTATCTAAAAGGGGCTATGGCAGACTCATTATCAGTCTACACTAAACATGCTTACTTGGATTTTTGTCCAAATAAGTTTGCTTATGAAAGCAAATTTGTATATTATGACAGAGCAGCTAGAAGTTAAAAGGGAAACAGAGCCCACATTCTTCTAAAAAGCAGAAACCACTCAATACAAGAGCAATTTCAACTACAGGATTGTTGGCTTCATACAATACAAACTAGACAACCATATTTTAAACTGATATGTTATGTAAACCCAGTTCCTTTTTTAATGTTTTCATTATAATGTGTTCAGTTGTGAGGGGTTATTTTTCACATTTCCATAGAAAGGTAGTCATCAGTCAACCAAAAGAGTAGGAAAAGAGGGAACAAGTGGTAGAAAAGCACATGTATTTTGCTATCTCCCTTCTTTGTCTTTTAATTTCAATTCCATTTTTTCCAAATTATTTTTTTAAACAGAAGTGGCAAAATCTCAGGAAAAACAATATACTATTGACATTTACCCTGCTTGGTTAATAGAGCGGAAGGGCATTTTTACTAAAAAGCATGACTGATCTGAGCATTTCTCAATATCAACACATAACATGAACTGTTATGGCAATATATATAGTCATGGTTTCAGGTCTGTTTATACTGGATTCAAATTCTGGCTCTCTAATCACACTGAGGCAGTACCTCCAAGTCTATGACAAACACATTTGTCAGCTGTGCAAAACATTTGTTGATCCTGACTGTAGACATACGCAACCACACTAGTACTTGCTCTAATTGCACATTCCTTTTTTATAAAAGTAAACCCAGTCAGAATGTTGTAGTCCCAATGGAGGAAAGGAGATGATCAAGAAATCATTAAATTATCCTGAAAGTATTAGATCTTTACATATACTTTTAAAAGTGGTATATAGAAATCTAGAGTTGGGATCTAAAGATTGCTACACACTTATTTCCTAAAGCAATGATTTCTCACAAAAGCTTAAATGTGAAATAGAAATAGACTGTATGCTTTTCTGTATGAATATGGATTCTGCTTTAACAATCAGAAATTAATGTTCCTAATTATTATTATTATTATTAATTAGATGTGTAGGACTGTTTCAAGGTTAATAGTGAAGATTCACTTCCCAAATGTTGTCCTGCAAAAAAATGTGGATTTTTTTTTTTGGCTATAAAGCTATAATATCAACAGTTCATAAATATTCCTGAAACATTTTAGAAAGAGCATTTTTAATACTTATTGCACTCATTGTTAGAAGTAGTTAACAGGGTCAACATTTTTTTTTTAAAGTCAGTTTCTTTAAGGTTCCAAGTTCATGATTTCCTTGTGTAATCTTTGCTGCATACGGACATAGGAACTGTAATGAACATCCTTTTGGAAACTTGTCATGGGAAGATTTTACCACAGAAAGGGAGCTCTAACATCAATCACAAAGAATATATTGCAATCACAATGCATTTACTTAATGTTGATACTCAAAGTTATAGCAAAATCTAAAGCCAAGAAGATGGGCTGCTTTGAGGCAGGCAATACCTTAGTGGCACTTTCACCATTCCTCTGGTATCTGTTACGTTCTTGGATTTTTTCAGCGATCTCTTGTGCAATATGGCAAGCAGAATCGTACAACAACAACCTTTAAAAAAACAGTGACAATATTAAACAACAATAAAATCTCCTTATTCCTAGGACAGCTTTTATTACATGCTTCTGTTTCCTCAAAAGAAGCTTTCTTCCATTCCTTCCTGTTTAGACCTTCATTCCAAGCAGCCATTGTAGCAAATAATCTACTAAAATTAAAGATTTCAACCATTGTGAACTCCAGGAAAGTGTGTGTGTGTGTGTGTGTATGTGTGTGTGTGTATCCTGCCAAATGAGTACAGAATGAGAAGTTTGATTTATATTGTTAACATATGAATTTACTTTTAAAACATCTATAATGGAGGATTGCCAAGGCTACTACTGTCTATATAAAAACTGTTCCTAAGATAATTGTCCTAATGTAAAGTAATTGTTCATACATGTGATTGTCCTAATACACATATGCCCATTGTGTGGCATTATACATTGATATAAGTATGGCAGGTATGCCCAAAGCTATGAAGGATGAACTGGTCTTCCATTCCCTCCATCCTATTAAGACCACCCTAGGAGGTCCCAGAATGAAAAAGTGATGTCTTCCTTTAATTTACTAAGCCACCATATCACCTTTCACGGAAATAATTGCAATAAAACACTTCCTGTAATTAGTCATCTCTTTCTCCTGTAGGAATTTTGGCATATTCCTCCATGGTGAATCTTTTTGAATTTTTTCTCTTCACAGGGTTTATTCACAGTGAGATGGCAGCATACAAATTTAGTAATCAGGTTTTCTTGTATGAACTTCTCTTTTACATTCTACCCACATTTGAATAATCCTGGACTTTAACGTGGCCATTCCAAACAATTTAATTTATTGTTCATCATCCATTATTTTGCAGACTATCTGTATTGGGGGGGGGGGGGATGTTGTCTCTGCCTTGATTCACGACCATTCATGCTTAAATTTCATGTTAAATTGCCTGATATACCCTGTAGAATTATCTGATATGAAACAAAGTATATTTTTTTCAGCAGCAACATCCAAGTGATGAGACAGCAACTCTTAACCATGATATTATGAACTCCATGCTTGATAACAGGCATGAGATTCTCATTGTGGATTGTTTCATAAGGCATATTGATGACCATGTCGCCCTAAATCTGTGATAGCGAACCTATGGCACGTGTGCCACAGGTGGCATGCGGAGCCATGTCTGTTAGCACACAACCTGTCAGCTCTAACGCACATGCATGTGCTGGCCAGCTGATTTTCAGCCTTCCAGAGGGCCAGGGGAAGCCGTTTTTGCCCTCCCCAGACTTTAGGAAAGCCTCCGAAGCCTGGGGAGGGTGAAAAATGGGCCCAATGGGCCAACCGGAAGTTTGGAAACGATCCGTTTCTGGCTTCCACAGGGCCTCTGCGAGGCTGGGGGAGGCCGTTTTTGCCTGACCCAGGCTTCAAGAAAGCCTCCGGAGCCTGGGGAGGACAAAAAATGGGCCCAATGGGCCAACTGGAAGTTTGGAAACACGCAGGGGAAGGTGTTTGTGCTCACATGCACAGGGCGGGTGTGTGTGTATGTGCAGGGGGTCACGCGTGCATGCACAGGTGGGTGGGGTGCATTGCATTGTGGTTGTGGGACATGCACACGTGCGCTATCGTGTGCACAGGCACAATTTTGGCACTCATTTACAAAAAGGTTTGCCATCACTGCCCTAAATAAATCTACTTTTGACATATCTGTTCCCTTAACATTTCCCAAAGTCTGGAGGATTAATAATCACGTTGCACCATAATATGGTTTACAGAATACATCATTGAACACTGTAATTCTGTATGTTATATTAACTTAGAAACTAGAGCTTTAAATAGACCAGCTGGGTTACTTTATACAATCTATAGTTTAGAAATATGTTTTGTGAAAAATGGTCAAAACATCATAAAATATTTTTTTCAAGATCTTCAAAATTTCAATTTCAAATCTGCATAGGTTGAAAGTACAGATAGTCCTCAACTTACAACCACAATTGAGCGCAAAATTTGTTGCTAAATGAGAAATTTGTTAAGTGAGTTTGACCCATTTTACAACTGTTCTCTCTACATTTGTTAAGCGAATCACTGTAGATTATAAATTAGTAAGACGGTTGTTAAGTGACTCTGGTTTCCTCATTGACTTTGCTTGTCAATCACATGACTCCAGGACACTGCAACCATCATGTGAGTAAGTTGTCCAGCATCCAAATGTAAAGCATGTCATTTTTTTCCCCACTGATGTGGTAACTTTGAACGGTCACTAGATGAATTGCTGTAAGGTGAGGACTACCTATACTAAAAAAGAGTATGTTATAGAAAATAAATGTTGAAAATTCTAATTCAAACATAACATAGATCAGACATATTTTAGATGCTTAAATGATTTCATCATATCCTAATGTAGCACAGAAAACGGTCCATACACAATTTCATTCTAAAACAGATATTGCAGGAAGAAAATTGTGTGACCGGTGATATCGCTAGTCTACCTGTACCCCTTTAAACTAGCCATTTTTATAAAAGGCATAAACATATATAGAATTTAACAAAAACCATTAGTCTAAAAACATGCTACCACACCCAATTTTTGTCCTCAAAGTGAGAATGTTTAATTTCTTCTTCTTTTTTGGTAAGCATTCATTCTAGCCTACATTTTTGGAGTTTCTTGATGGTCACTCATCCAAAGGCTTGACCCCACTTTGTTTTCAAAACCAATCAGCGAAGACAAGTGTGTACCGAGCAGTTACACCAAACTTGCCAAAGGGATACCTATAGTTTTAGGGAAAGTGCCCAACTGTAAAAATTCTACATCATTGAAATCCCTGGCTGGAAAACTTTGCATCTATGCAGATTTTCCCAAAGGTGCTTTTTTCAAGAGGCAACTGGATTTTCTGGTTTTTCTTTGAAGATGTTTCGCTTCTCATGGAAGAAACTTCTTCAGCTCTGACTCAGGAAGTAACGCGAAGAAGCTTCTTGGATGAGCAGCAAAATGTCTCCAAAGAAAAACCAGAAAGTCCACGTTGCCTCTTGAAAAAAGCACCTTTGGGATAACCGTGATCTGATGACTGAGAATCTCCATAGACACTAAACAGTTCTTCTCTCCCGCTACTACACCAAAATGATATAGGAGATATAATTTCCCTGCCTGTAGAAATTCTCCCATTTTTTAAACCAAAGGAGAAGAGCAGAATAGGGAGGTGGAGGATGGAAGGGGACTCCTGTTTTATAGCAATGTTGTTCGACCTCGTCCTCTTTTAAAGGGACGCACTTCAACTGGCTGGGAGTTCTGGGAGTTGGAGTCCACTCCTCTTAAAGTTGTAAAGATCGAGAGCCCCGCTTTCCGGGAAAAGGTATGCACTTCATCTGCCCGCCCCGCTCGCCAGGCACTTTCAGCGGCAAAGGGAGAGTCAGGGAGCATGCGCAATGCCGAAGAGGCGGAGCAGCGAGAGGTGGGGGGGGCGTCCTCCATGAGCTGCCCTCAGCCT